GAATGGGAGGTTAGAGATGGGGTGGTAGCTGGAGAGGAGGGATGGATCCAGGGAAGATTTTTTCAGGAGGGGGTGATGATGGTCTGTTTTTAGTGGGGTGAGAACTGAACCAGTGGACAAGGAGAGGTTGATGAGGGAGCTAAGAGATGAGAAGAGAAGTGGGAATGGGATCGAGAGAGCAGGTGGTGGGTTTGAGTTTGCGAACGATGGTGGTGAGGGAAGAGGGAGAGATAGGGTCGAAGGAGTACAGGGGGCGATGGGTAGGGGCTGGGTCATGAGGGAGAGGTGATGGGGTGGCTTCGGATGGGACTGAGGTGGCTGAACATATCCCCTCGATTCAAGGAAGTCCAGCAGCTCCTCACATTTGGAATTTGAGGAGAGGATGGGCGAGACATGGGAAGGTGGATGGAGGACGGCTTGTGCTGGAAAAGAGAAGCCTGGGGTTGTCCTTTGCCACCAAGATAACCTTAGAGTAGAAGGAGGATTTGGCGGAGGCAAGAGCACAGCGGTAGGTCTTGGTGTGGTGAAGCCAAATCTACCGATGGACCGTTAGGTTGGATTTGGTCCAGGCACGTTCGGCAGCTCGCACTTGTGGCCTTGAGGGAACGGAGATGGCTGGTGTACCAGGGGATTTTTGGGAGTATGAGGCAATTCGGGAGGTAAGGGGGGCAAGGGAGTCTAGAATGGAAGAGGGGGAGTTGTGGAGAAAAGAGAGTGAGGAGGGGAGATCGGTCAGGGAGGGACAGAGGTGTACGTAAGGCTGCTAACTGCACTTACAAGGTTTGGATGTTTTGGTGCCTCCCCCAATGTCGATATGTAAAAGTTCCAGTTGTCCTTCTCACACAGGAATCTCTAAAAGGGCGTGGTGATTGAGATAGTATTTGTATGCAAACATGCTACAATACTGCTGTCTGCAATGCACTAAACATTGATGAAGATACAATTGTCTATTCTTTTCACAATGTATGCATTCCAAGGTCCAATTGTGAAACATTTAAAATTGACGTTAGTGTCCAACCATCTCTCCCTCTCCTTTTCTCTGGGCCTAGTGTGAGGACCATAAAGTCAGGTTTGGTCACAAAATAAGCACCTTGGTATTTTTCGAGGTCTAGTTTTCTATCAAAAAACATGAGAAAATAGGAGGTGGGGTTGGGGAAATGTAACACACACTCTCTCCCCTCCCCCAGCTAAATTGGGATTGACTTTGGAACATCCAGGTGTACAATGTGGTTTGTGTGCATTCCTGGAACTGGCTTGTGCATTATATTTAGCACCAATTGAATAAGATTGAGCGCATATTCCCAGAACCGGAAGGCTAAAACGAGGTAGAATTTAGGGCTTTAGTTGACTAAGATGCTTAGGGGAGTTGTCCGATTGTTATCCTGTTTCCCTTCCACTTCTGTGATGGAAATTCCTATTTGGCAACCTCATCAGCTGCAGTATTCTTGTTCCGCTCCCTTTAAAAATGGGGGATGGGTTGGTAGTTGGTTTCGAAGAGTACTGAGAAGCAACATTGGGGTACGGAGGGCATATCCATTCATAGATTTACATAGACTATTCAGAATGGAAAGAAGACATTCAATCCAATTATTCCATGCCAGGGCTTATATTCCACATGAGTCTCTACTTTCTCTATTTATTCCTTACTCCCACCCATTACCTTATATTCCCTTCTCTCTCATGTGTACACCTATTCTTATTGCATCTGGTCCATTACAAGCTGCATGATGTAAATGCAATTTGAACAACTTGTTATCTGCACAAGTCTGACTCTAGTTGATGAGGTTGAAATGAATAATAATAATAATGAACTGTTCAAATGAAGCAGGCCATTCTTTTGAAAGTCACAGACCAGCTACACTGCAGAGTTTTGTGTCAGTTCAATGTGATTTTTGTTTGCATTCCTCTGTTCCTCTGGCTCCGGTCTGCTCCACGTCCCCCGCCCCAATCGCCCTACCATCGGTGGTCGGGCCTTCAGCCTCTCAGCCCCTAGGCTCTGGAACTCTATCCCCCAGTGCCTTCGCCTTGCTTCCTCCCTCTCCTCCTTCAAGGCCGGTCTCAAAACCTTTCTCTTTGACCGAGCCTTCAGCTCCCCTCTCGACTCTCTTCCCCCTCCTCGCTCCCTCCCTTCCCTCCCCTCACCCTGACCATTTCCCCCTGCTCGGGTCATGACCCAACTGTGCAGCGCCTTGGGACGTCCTCCTGACGTGAAAGGCTCTTTATAAATGGAATCTTGTTGTTGTTGTTGTTGTTGCATTGAATCAGCGCAAACTGAGCCAGTGCAAAGTGAACTTTTTAAACTTAACATTAGTTCAGAGGCACTACACTGGATCTCCCATACTTTCCTACTGATAGTGAAATACTAATAGTGCAACCAGTTTTGCGCTAATGTTAACCAACACTCAAACTGACCCAAAATACCACCTTGTCTTAGTCTATAAAATTATTTTGCCTTAGTAGCCAGCTTTACACACAACATGCCCATCACCCCACCCTCAGCAGGCTTCTCTCTCTCTCCGTCCCCATCTCCAAGTGGACTGAATTCATGATTTTTGTGTTGATCTTTAAATCCCTGCTCTTTTGCTCCAACCTTCCAGAACACCAAGCCTATCCTCCTCCCATTACAGCATGAAGCTGCTTTTAAATGAGTTCAGCACCCTGGCCTCAACCACCTTGCCTGGCAACCTGCTAATCACCCTTTTAAGCAAAAAAAACTTATACAGAGGATATCATGTACTGTAGGTATCGATGTGATAACACATTTAGAGAACAATGGGCAGACCTGACTGCATAAAACATGAGCAGCAAAGTCTCTTTCTGAATTGAAACCTTTTCTCTGAATTTTCAGCTCCTCGACTTTAATTGAGATTGTCAGCAAATTCTACTTCTGAAACTTTTGTCTCACACGCACACACACAAACACACACGTGTACACATAGTGGTCTTGTGAATGATGAACGCGTGGTGATGACTAGAAACACTTTTGTGAAGAAGATGATCCGAAACGGGGTGAATTCTTAATAAAAAGATTTAAAATGAGTTCTGTTGTACATAATAGTCTTGCGATTCTGCGCTTGCATTAACTTTTCCATAATTTTCCCCACAACAGCTTAACAGTAGCCTTAATATAGCAAGCAATTTTCAGGCACTGTGAAACCAAGTTTCTTTTTACAATAACATTAACAAATTTAATATATTCCAAATATTTTGCAATCGAAAAGCAAATCAAGTGTGGCTTTCATTTAAACAATAATAAACTGAACAATGATCCATCTTAATATTGCACTTTTGTACGATCAAATACATTTGAGCCACAACAAATAGTTCTCCTAGATAAACTTATTCTGATAAACACTGTCAGTTAATAGGTTATTACTAGTACGTGTCTGTGACATATTATGATCACATTCTTTAACCAACATGAAACTCGAATAAACAAAAGAATAAGGAAATGTGTGTTTCTCTTGATTATTTATGTTCTTGTGTGAGATGACATGCAGCACATCTCACTGCACAAACAATATTCTCACTGTGTTTGAGAACAAGTTGTAATATTTCACTGGTTTGGATGAAGATGGATGAGTTAAACATCACACTTCTCCACTGCAGCTATGAAATATAATGGTTGCTATGTAGTGTTCCAAACTGAATTGCATAGATTGGACTGTGATTGGGCCCATTTTATAAAACTAATATTTGATATGATTGCTCAGTTTCTAAAATCGATTGAAATGCAGCAACAACAACTTAGATTTATACAGCGTCCTTCATGTAGGGCAACATCCCAGAGTGCTGAACAGATTCAGGGTTAGACACCAAGCAAGGGAGAGAGGGAGGTGGTCATGCATACATTCAATGAGGTAACATTTGAAGGATGTAAAGACAGAAAGAGAGGGGCACGAGTTGGAGTGGTAGAGGGAGGGAGTTCCAGAGGTTGGAGGGTAGGAACTAAAGCCTCGGTTACTGATGGTGGCGAGGAAATGAAATGAGCCGGAACAAAGATTTGCCTTTTCAAGGCATAAGGCTGACAATTCTTAAATGAATAATTTAATCTTAAAAAATCAAAAATGATGATCTGGAAATAAACAATGAACTCATATTTAATATAGTAAAAAAAATTCACCCTGGTGTCTGACACATGGGTGTCAAACCCATCACTATGCTTAAGAGTATCCAAACCAAGCTGAGATTTCCACACATCCCACCTACACATGGAAATCCCAGAGACAGATTGTTGGAATGAAATGCGCACTCTTTCCATGGAGGGATCCAACCTGCTTACCTAATTCCCGAAAGTGTTAGGCGCAGGTTGGCAAGGACCAAAGCTTGGGGACCCCAGAGTGCGAGTTGGGGTATTGCTGGAGTCTAACCAGCTAAAACCGCATAACTTGCCATTGATAGCACTGTCTGACAAGCTTTCCCACTGCTTGTTCAGCTAAGACCACCCTACCTATTCGGGCTTTGGCTTGCAGGGGTTAACAGGAGCTGAGTTGAAGGATTCCCTGTGTCACATAGGGATACGTGGCAGGTGATCCGTTCTGTCGAAGGGTTGTGGACCCGAAACGTTGACTCACTTTCCTTTCTCCATAGATGCTGCCTGACCTGCTGAGTTTTCCCAGCTCTCTCTGTTTTTGTTTGAGGAGTCATGGTAATGGGTTTGTTGAGGGTGTGTTTGCCTTAGGTTGCTACATTGAAAGCTGACATTTAAAGTTACCAGGAAGTAAAAAGGAAAGTTTAAAAGCTGAAGAATTGTCACAAACTAATTAAAAAGTTCACCCACAAAACACAGTCAGTGCAGTTTACAGAATATCCTGTGAAGCACTTTGAGACATCCTCCTGAGATGAAAGGCGCTATATCAAATGTAAGTATTATTATGAAATGGGATGGAGGAGGCCTGATGCTCCCAATGACAGGTACACAATGACAACTAATCATACGATGTCTATGTTGCTGTATTCGGGTAAATTATTTAAGTAGAAGGCTTGACTGAAATGACCAGTGATGTTTGCAGTTCCCTCGAGCTTTGACATGCTGGTGCTGTAATATTCTACGATTCTATAACACTACAAGTATTAGCAGGGACCATTGCTTGTGCTACCAAAACAAGATTTTGTTTCTAGCAAATTTCACTGTGTAGCAATAATTTCCGTTATAGATTTCCACCGACCCCCATCTTCTCGTGCATCCAGTTGTAGAACTTTGCCAAACGTGTGTAAATCCCAGCCAAACCGCTCCGAGCACACCCTTCGCCTGCACTCACAACACCAGCCACAAACCATTTCCCTGAAGATTCCTCACACAGCAAAGGCCCTCCAGAATCACCCTAAAAAAACATAAAGTATCTCAGAAATGCACAGTTCTGGAATTGTTTTTCTGTAAAGGTGCAGGATTCATTACAAAATATAAGCGCAGTTGAAGAGGTGGGTTTTAAGTCAGGGCTTCAAGACCGAAAGAAAGTGGGAGGGGAACGAGATGGAGGGGATAGAGGGAGGGAGTCACAAGATTACAAGACTCAGGGTTATATAGATATAGATCAGTCAGCGTAATTCAGAAAATGACCAATCAGCTCTTTTGTCCTGTGTATACTCCATGCCTATAGCTCTACTATATCTCCAACTGTTTCTCAACATTGATATTAGAATTGAGATTTTTTTTCATTCTGGCACTATATTTTTCTGTTAGCTTTGTGAAAATCTTGATCTATATTGCATCGTCAGGTTATAGGAACTGTCCAGACATTGGTGGTTATGTATACATTCTCATACACTGTGATTATCAGTTTTTCATACATCACATGCATCAATTTCTCCAGTAAGATATCCTGCGCAAAGCATTTGCGTGGTGATTTGGTGTTTCATTCTTTTATTGCATAATGCCTGGTCAATGATTTTTACTGTAGCCACTTGAAGGTGCAGAGAAATGGGGCCTGTAAAGCAAAAACAAAGATTGTTTTCCATTGTAGTTCAGAACTAGGAATAAACTCATGCCAAAATAGACATGGTCAACACCCAGAACCATAGAAATTTACAGCACAGAAGAAGAAAGTCATTCAGCCCATTGCGTCTTGCTGGCACTTTAAAAGAGCAATTCTTTTAACAATACATACAACTAACTTTTGGACCTGTGTTATTTGACTTGAATTTGGTACTGCACAGTAAATGTCTATCACAAAGACTCCTAAATGTTAACAATAAAACAATGTGACAATGTACTCCATATGTTTTTGTATGAGACTTAATTGTAAGGATTATTATTATTATTATTATTGAAAACCCCAATATTATTTTACAGGTTCAGCATTGATACATATAGTCACTGGCATCAACAGCAATTTGGTATTCATACACATTTCTTGTTCTGCTGAACTAATGTTGACTTTATGAAAAAGTTGTGCAAAAAATGTACGTTAGAGGATTACCGCACTACAGTTAGACGAAACTCAGAAAAATCTTCTATTTAAACCTATATAGGGATGTTACTTTTTAGACATACACTGGATTTAGTGGAGAGGATGGCTTCTCATCACTGTGTATCAGCCCCATCTATACTCAATTATTTGCTTTTATATCAAGGATTTTGAATTAAAATCCTCTGGGAGAATGGGGAGCTAGTGGAGCTGGGCCAGGATGGGGATGATAGGGTCATGAAGCTTAGCGCGGGAGAGGACATGAGCTGCAGAGTTCTGAATGATATGCAGCTTGTGAAGGGAAGAGTTGGCAAGGCTGACAATCAGGGAGTTATTGTAGTTGAACCTGGATGTGAATCGTAATCGAGCCTTGATGTGAAATAAGAAAATATAAGACTATAACAAAACACTGTAGAACGTGATCTTTTAAAATGTGGTTACTGTGCCAATCATCAGGCTTGCTAACTACTGAAAGCATGTCTGCATCCTGTAGGAACTGTGTTAAGTAATGTAAGAATAAAGAATGAATGCAATATCTGTCAACGCTTGTATAATACCCTTCATTCCATTAGGCAATTGTTTAAATTGGAAATCTCACCCAATATTGTACAGACAGATTAAAATATCACGTGTTATATATATGCTTGCATTTTATATAGCACCTTATCATGTCATTGAGACATCATAAATATATATATATCATATTTGAGATATATATACATATATAAAAAACACAGTAATAATGCCTTTTTACAGGGGGAAAATAAAACACTCACCATTTTCTTGCTTTGCCCCCCAGCCTACAATATGGCAGGATTTCCCTGCAGGAAACACATGAGATGATGATGGAAGACATACTGGTTGTATGTTCTCATTGAAAGCTATAGGGGCTGAAAGCTCCAGCAAAGTTATGTCGTAATTCAGTGTTGTATCATCATACTGTTCGTGTTGTATTAACCGTTTGATTGTTTGAGTCACTGCACTTGTCGATAAATATTGAGAGTCTATTCCAAAGATTGCTTTCCACATTGTTATATCAGAGTATCTAGAGTACAATGAAGCAAAAGATAAAATAATAATAATTATTATATTTGATAGTGCACCTTTCACATCAGGAGGACGTCTCAAAGTGCATCCCAGTATATAATGTAAATTTGCAGGCAAATACAGATTGAACACAATAAACACAAATGAACACAAATGCAAGTACTCTTAATTATGATTATTATAAGTGAAGGGGAGAAAAACTTACTGTAAATTTTAACGATAATATTATTTCCTTTCCAGCATTTTTTTAAGCAATTGGGGGTTTAAATCCCAGTCCCTGGGAAAGTCAGACTGACTTGAATTCAGGATAACAGATACATTTTAATCACTACCGAGGAAAGGTTCCAGAAAGGCTTTCAGATTTTGAGCATCTGGATTCCAACTTATTGTCTACCTTACATTTTACTATGTAAAGAAAAACTCAGCAAGTGCACAAGATACAAAATTAATTCGGATGAAGGAGGCCATTTGGCTCATCTGATCTCATCCTTCTAGTACAACAGTCCTACCATCTTCTCACCATAGCATCAAGTTGTTTAATCAGATCTTTGTAGGTATAGATCTGGGAGGTGTAACCCACATATATGCAAATTGCAGAGAGAGGAGGTTCTCACTCTCATAAGACATCAATATTTTACTTGAAAATGACAGCATATGGGGTTAATTCACGGCCACTAGATGGCAGGTGTCATCTTCTTAAAGAGTAGCAACAGGAGCAGATGTATTCAACGGCAGCTTAATTTAACCAGCTATTTTCTCATCTGAAAACCAGACCAATAAACAGAACTATGCAGAGGTTTCCTGCGCCTGACTGCTGATCAGAAAGTGCACGGATTTTGCCTGAGGGAAGAAGTAGTCTCAGCTGTAATGCCTCCTGTGATTCTATATCTCACATATATACATTTGAATAAATGATCACAGAGGACAATGTTGGGAACTTAGTTGTGATTTGCTAACCAAGATCATGCTTTTAATGGAGCAGGACTGAACATGTATGGCAAAGAGAGAACCGATCCAGGTCGGTACAAGATTAGAGACAAAGACACCCACACACAAATAGTGAGAGTGGCAGATGCATGCACACACATGCGCACACACACAGTAAGAGAAGTAGAGAGAGGCACAAATCTACAAACACAGAGACCCATTATCCGGTTTGTTTTCACATCCGCAATGGGGCCAGATCCACTTAGTGCATCTTTCTGGTTCTCTATTGTACATCACGAGGCCACTGGACAAAAGTGCCAGGACATTGGGAACTCTTCTATATAAGTTAGAGGCCCAAAAGGAGTAATTATCCCATTACTCGGTAAGTCCAAAAGTTGCGTAGATTGACATTTCCACATCCGTCCATTGCGTCAGTTGTTTTCTATTCTAAGGACTCCTTGGTCTAGTCATGATTCTGGAAACAATAAAGCTTATCATTTCTTCACATCCTTAATTTGCATCTTGTGGTCTTGCTGATCTTAGGATTTCACTGCGAGTCCCACCGAATAGCTGGATGTTTTTATTTGTAATCATCTGATCGTCTCCCCACTCAGTTTATACATTAACCTGTGAGGAGATAACACTGCAGGGGAATCATTTATAATCTATTCAATGAACCGAAGTAAAGAAATCACATCCTGTGTTCCCAAGTTTACGGCCTGTGATCACTTATTCTGTGCTTAGCTGACAACAGTGGCACAGATTGCTGGATTGGAAGCTAGACCAGGCAGCAAACAAGCTGCCAAGTACATTTTACTGCTGCATCTTGCAGTGAGGTCCACTGTTACTGTCACCATTGTGTGTATCGCTGGCTATCAGCTAAGTGTTTGCCACAGGCGCCAAGCACGCACTGTACACTTTCAACCATATAAGCAGTTTGAATTTAATGCGTTTATCTGACACCTCTGGAGACAAAGTAGAGCAAATCAAAAGTGAAGGCTTTGAGCATTCTGGTTCCCTGCTTCCTGCCATTATGTTTGCACAACTCACGTCAGCCAGAATGTGCGTGGGGGTAACTGCTGACACTCCAATACATTGTCGGGGGGAGCATCACATTGTCAGAGATGTTGTCCTTCGGATGAGACATTAAACCAAGGAGCTATCCGCCTGTTCAGGTGGCAGTTAAAGATCCCATAGTGCAACTCAAAAAGAGAAAAGGGTGTCCTGACCAACAATCATCCAGATAAAACTGATCATTCATTTCATAGCTATGTGCAAATTGGTTGCCACCAAGCTTCACAATAAAATCCTGTGAAGTGTTTTGAGATGTCTCGAGGACCGGATAAAGCCCTACGTCAAATGCAAGGATTATAACAACTTATATTTATGTAGCACTTTTCACATAAAGGAAATTGCTCAAAGGGTTTGCAGAAGGAGGTTAACTAGAAATTAAGCAGATGTTGTTAAACAGGCAAACTCAGCAGCTAATTTACACCCACAACAAACATTAAGTAAAAGATCTTTATTTTGCAGGGTGGGTTGTGGGAGGGGGGATTCGAGTACATGAAAGTGGGGATGGGTGAAATCTTCGCTCAGTACACAACAAAGTCATTGCTTAGCAGCGGTATAAAGGGTTTAGAAAAAGGGTAGGGCACCGACATAAAAAAATTGCCAAGTTCTAATAAACTGATGGAACAGGCCCAATGAGCTGAATGGCCTTCTTCAGGTCCCATTTTCCTATGTTTCTTGGCTGGACGATAACATCACCTTTGGACACACTCTCATTTGATTCGAAACACTGTGGATGAGCACGCAAAGTTTCTTGAATAAACCAGCTCGACTGCAAAATCAATGTAGCAGAGGTATAATTAACAGCTCTGCCACTCTGATACCATTCTGCTTGCCGCCAGAGGTAGAATCCAAAGGTACCATTATTCAGTCACCTCCGGGCTTACACTTCACAGAACGTTAATGCAACTTCTGAATTCATCAAGTCTGCAACTTGATTTCCTTCTTCCACCCATCCTACTATCAACAACAACTTGCATTGATATGGTGCCCTTCACATGGGGTAGAGTCTCAAAGCGCTTTCATTGCCAATTTGAAAAGGAATGCGATATTATGCACTTGGAGATTGCAAAGCATAAAAGGCAATGATATTTAGAAATGAGGAATTACCAGATTCACCATAGTGAACTTGTCTGTTCATTCACAATTCCTTAGAGGGCATTTCCATGATGTATTCAACTGTGCTTCAGAATACATTTTTTGAGAGCTATGCTAGTTCAAAGTGAATCCAGAAAATATTGCTTTGCACTGTCTTCCCATCACAGCTGCTTTTTTTTTACATGAGTAAAACTGGTGCTTCAGAGCTGCCTGATAGTTATTTCTTTGACATTGCGCAGTAACAGGTTAGGTCCAAAAGTAATGGTGTGAAGCCTCATTATTTAAAAAAAAGAAAAATATCACTTACTTTGCCTTGTATGTGTCTTGGTAACAATGTGCAGCTGACAGAAGCCACTTTCTATTTATCACTGTTGCAGCACAAACATGCCCGAATGAATGAAAGTGAAGGGAGACCAACCAGGGCCAGTTACTGATTTGAGTCTCATGTCCACCAATAATTCGACTGTTAAGCCTGGGAAGATTTCCACAGTCTGCGTAGAGAGAAAAGAAAGCTCTTGGTTTTGCGGAGTTCCATTTCCTTTTCCAAAACCTTAAAACCAAAATATCCACATAGGCTTTGTCTATAAACCCATTTGGTCTTAAAATATAAGATTGAGTAGAATTTTTAATTTTAATTTTTCTGGTACTTTTTTTAACTTGTAATTCCAAGATTTATCCACAATTCTGTGCTATCTTAAATGATAAGACAGAACTATCTGATAGGCCAAGACTAGGTTCAAATTCAGTCCACTAATCTTTTTTTCCTGTTATTTAAATGTTTATTCTCGTGGTAAGTCTGAATTGTTTACAGTTTATCCAAACTGATAAGTTAATTTACTGTAAGATTTCAATCAACAAAAAGCAACAAAAGTGAATCATTTTATTTTCCCAAGGTGTCAATTCAGTTGGTGGCAATCTCCCTTTGTAGGCCATACAGTTTGGGATTTAAACCCCATTTCAGGACTTGTTCTCATGGTGAAGACTGACACTACAATGCAGTACTGGGGCTCAGGTATTGCATTGCAGAGGTTAGGCCTCTGGATGATACATTAAACCAATTGCCTGTTCAGATGGACGGTAAGATCCCTTGACACTATTGAAAAGAGGAGTGAGTTTCTTCAGGTCTCCTGGGCAATAAACTGCCAGCTAACTTGGTCATTTGGTTCACAACTGTTTGTGGGACGTTACTGTGTGGCTGCTTGTGTTTTGCCTACAGTTACCTCACTTGATAAACTGTTAAGCACTTTAAGGTTTTTCGACATGATAGACTCAACATCAAATACAAAGATTATTATTAATAATAACTTGCTTTAATATTGGCTTCTTTCCTTTCATTGTAAGACTTCTCTCTAGATAAAACTCAGATAATAAAAGCAGGGTAACTACCAGGCTTCCAAATCTCACAATGTGACATTCAATAGATCGCTGTGTGACCTGGAATGAACTCTCTCTCTCCAATCTTCCTTTTCCCCCTCGATAGCATCCCAGCAGGTCCCAGAGCGAAAAGAGGTACAGTATATGTGGAAGGGTGTAAAGGCGCAAGGAAATAAAAGAGGATTAAATATCCTCTTTAGAAGGCAACGTACCCACACCTAGAAATATTCGTACAACCTTTTCTGAATAGGGAGGGTTGAGCGGTTAGTGTCAAAAGTATTCTCCTTAGCATGTTTTACAAACATCACAAATAGTTCTTTTTGTTCCAAACTCAAGACTGACCTACATCCCAGCAGCAAACAGAATGAGCATTGTGTATTTTGCATTAACAAATGCAGGTTAGGTCATGTGGTGACCAAGAACCCAAATATAGTCTTCTCAGGGGAGGCACTCCTAGGTACAGCTGAGTAACGAAAGACAGAATTGTGTCTGAGCCTTTCTTCGGCTGAGTCACATAGTATCCAAGGAGACATGGGGAATTGCAAACGGGCAGGGCAGTGCCATTAAAAGAAGGACTTGTTCTGAGAGCTGGTGCAGATTCAGTGGACCGAATGGCCTCTTTCTGCTTTGTAAATTTCCTTGATTCTGTGCATTCTATACGACCAGAGGTCGTAACACAAATAAACCAATTGACCATCTCGCCCACAAAATACACAGTCAGACGCTTTGAGCCATTTCAAAGACGTGATGAGGTGCTATATCAAATGCAAGGATTATTATTATTATCTCAAAGGCATTACATTGATTCTCAAGAGGAAGCTGTCTATGATTCTCCTTGATCTTATCGCTCTCATTCGGTGCATTCAGAATATTAGAATTCAAGCTTCTCTCAACAAACACCTGCTATTTCATGCCCTAGCATCTCTCTGATCTGCTGGCACTACACTCCTCTGCTTTCTCTCTCTGTTCAGTTAATACAGAGGTTTACCCTCCGCACCACCATCAGTGTCTTCAGTGTCTCTTAAACTCGCTGCTTCTATCCTCTCTTAGGGATCATAGAATCATAGAATTATACAGCACAGAAGGAGGCCATTCGGGCCATCATGTCTGTGCCGGCTCTTTGAAAAGAGCTATCCAAATCAATCCCCCTCCCCCGCTCTCTCCCCATAGTGCTGCAAACTTGTTCTCCCCAAATAATTATCAACTTCTCTCTTAAAAGTTGTTATTGAATTTGTTGATATCTTCTTTATCTATCTTTAAATCCCACATAAAAACTTAACCTTTCGACACACCTATGGTCACTTCCCTCTCCCCCTTCCTCCTTGTTCAGCATCCAACTTTGCGCTCTTAGAACATTATTCTATGTGAACGGCAGAAAAAGTGACCACAGGCCGTAAACTTGGGAACACAGGATGTAATTTCTTTATTTCGGTTCACTGAATAGATTATAAATGCAAGTTGCTGGAACAAAATTACGCAACACTGCTTGCTTTCCTCATTCACTGAAAAGAAACAGGAGTTATTCAGAAAACACTTACAATTCATCTTATTCAGTATCAGCTCAAACTCCCTTGCCTCCCCTCCAAAAAGATTATTGCTGTCAGTTATCTACTTTGATATAAGTGGCACCACTATCTTGTGAAATCAAGCAAGAAAGAATGTACCACTATATCACATCGAAAAAGTTTCACTTGTGTTGCCTATCGTTTCATGTCAACAACTCTTAGTAGGTCTTGTCACTCCCTGTATTGCTTACCACAATTGTTTTCATCGCTGAAGTCTAAGCAATCGTTTTCACCATCGCACTCAGCATTAACTTTGGAAATACAGTGTCCATTGGCACACTGATATGTGTGGGCACCACATTCTGAGAGAAATAAAAAGGTAAATCAGTAACACTTTCTATTTAAAGGTACTGAAAAGTGCAGCAATAACAGCAACTTACATTTATATGGCACTTTTTATATGAAAGACCATCACGTGAAACGCGCTTCGCAGAAAAAGAGAAAATTGGAAATTGGTGACATTAATTAGCTGTCACATTTGCCTGCAAGCATTTTGCAACAGTATAAATGGGACGAGAGGGATATCAACCAGAAAAAACACTCCCCACTTTTCTTAGAAATAATGCCTTAAGATCTGTATGTGGTGTCTCTTATATTCAAAGAGGATGGAATTATTACAACACACATTCAAAAAGGGTGATCTTTTCATTTCTAGCAAGATGTTCTATGAGTTTATTGGATCATGAACAATCTTGAAATCCCACTTACTTTTTTCCATAGCCCTTAATATTTTCCAAGTATTTATCTATCTCCCTTTCATGTGTCCCAACTGATTCTGTCTCCACCAGCTGGGACAGTGCATTCTGTGTGAACAAATGTGTTCTTATCCCACTTCTAGCTCTAATTTCGAGGTTGTGGATCCTTCTACCAGAGGGAAAGAGTTGTCAACTATCTAGAGTGTCAATTCCTCTTGTTGTTTGCTGCTCTATGATCACCTCTTTTCAGCTCTAAGGAATATAACCGATGTATATGTAGTCTGTCATCATGCTAATCTCCTTGTTCCCAATTTAGTGAATCGATTCTTGAAGCCTCCATGGCTAGTGCATTCTTCTTAACATCAAAAATAATACTCTAAATGTGGTCTGACCGGCATTGTATATGATAATAATAATAATAATAATCCCTACTTTTAATATACCAGCTTATCACATCATTGATGTCTCAAAGCACTTCACAGAATATATTGTCAGGTGGATTGACTGTGTATTCAGTTGGTGAAACGCGGCAGCCAATTGCACACAGCGGTGTCCCACAAACAGTCGTGGATTGAGTGATCAAATGTTTTTAATACATAAATGGAACAGCCATTTGTGGAGCATCCTTGTTTCCTCATTCCAGACCCTTGTTGTAAAGGATATATCCCATTAATCTTATTGCTACTTTTCTGCACCAGAGAACCATATTTAATAATTTATGGACTTGGAACCCTAGATTAATTTGCTTATCTATCCCTCTTGGAGCTTTCTCACCTAATGCATGTTCCCACCTGCTATTCATACATCCAAAGTACACCAACTAACACTGTTTACTTGAAATCCAGATGCCTTAGTTTCACTTGTGTGCTCTTTTGCAATTTTCTGCTGTGCTCTTCACAAGATGCAACACCTCCCAATTGGTATCATCAGCAAATTTGGAAATACGTCCAACTTGTTTATATAGAGTATGAAAAGCTGGGGCCACAGCACCAATTCCTGAGAGATACCACTTGTGATTGCATACTAATCAGAGAAAGCCTTTAGTATGTTCCACTTACCTGTGTTCCCACAATTCTTCTCGTCTAAGCCACCTGAACAGTCATTATTCCCATCACATCGCAAACTACTGGGCAGACAATAACTATCCAGGCACTTGAAGGACCCGTCAAAGCAACCTGGGAATGGAAAAAGGTTGTTATGCTTTCCATTCAAATACTCTGAAGCTGGGCACTGAGACTGCAGTGGTTGTGTATAGACTGTTAATGTTACAATGAAGGGACACTGTTACCTCGAGGAGTAAAGTTTGTGGTATTTCCAAATGGCAGCCCATGGCAGTCTTTGAATCAGCTCAGTTATCACTGCTGTAAACCTAAGGCTGACATCTGCTTCAATCCCTTGTTAATTAACATAAGGGAAGTGTTGTGATACGTCACAGACTTTACCCCTACACCATCCACATTTGAAAGTAGCTGAAATGGTGGAAGACTGTATTTCTCCTACCAAGGAGCCAATAAACACACAGCCAAAGTTAAGTACGGATAACTCTAAGTAAATCTATGGTTGGAAAAAAAGTACACCACCACAACAACAACTTGCATTTATATGATGCCCTTCCTGTAGGATAATGGGGCAGAGCCCTTTGCAAGAAATCCGACCCTGATCGAGGGAGAAAGGAGAGGGGGAGGTGACCATAAGCATGAATGAACAGGGGAGCTTTAAGGCAAAAGCATCTCCAATATCATGACTGCTCACTTTCACACAGACATTTATACTAATAATGCTGGATATGATGCTAAATACACAAGCTTCGATCCACATTCTGGTGAATACTTACAAATGATTTCCTAAGTTATACAAAGCGATGTTTAAGGCACCATTGCTTATTTCACATTTCACGCAGGTAGATTCTACAGGAATTCTGCCTTTAGGACTCAGTTTTTAAATCATTGGCCGTTGAAGTAAAAGTTTCCGTTCCAAAGATGGATAGAGATGGGTTGAGACGGAAGGGTAGATGGAGGGTGTTTCAATGTTTTAGGGGCCTATTGGCTGAAGGTTACTATGCTGGTGGTGACGAGGGATGAAAAATCAATCTGCTTTCTGCTATTGATCACTGCCAAGAAACAGTGACCCTTATGAATCAAGGAACAATTGAACTTGGTAGGAAGAGAGGAATGTGCCTTTCCTTTCTCTTACTCAGTGGAATACCCAGTCAGCACTCATTGTCTAGACCAGCGGTGGCCAATCTTTATGGTCAACAAAATACGTTTTCTTGATAGAATATTTCTTGATTTATGCCATAAGCCGATTGAACACGGATGGACCTAGACTAGTTTGGGGGGTGGGCATGGGCTTCTTGATGACCACCATAGATTGACCACCACTGGTCTAGTCACTGGTCAAGAAGAATGACACCCAGATGAGACTCTGTAAGGCTGTCTGTGCCTGTGGAACCTTACCCCAGCATAATCCTCTACCTTCAGAAACAAAGAGTTAAGGTAGTAAAACATGTGAAACTTTCTATAAGAAGTTACGTAACATTTGTATAAATTTTTTACGCTGTGTAGTTTTTATATTCAACTTACCACAGTTGTGTTCATCACTCCAATCCCCACAATCATCGAGTCCGTCGCACAACCAGATCTTAGGTATACATAACATATTACGGCACTTGAAGTAATTTATTGGGCACAGCAGACCTGTATGTGGCAAGGGGAGACAGAAGAAACAGATTCAAGTGAACACTTCATTTTACTCAGATTAACTATTTCATTGTTCATTGAACCACACCCTATGTTGCAAAGATGGGTCTGCAATTACAAGTTATTATCCAATAACAACAACAACATGCATTTATACAACACCGCTCATACACAATAATAATCCTTGCATTTGATACAGTGTCTTATCACGTCTTTGAGACGTCTCAAAGAGCTTCACAGGATATACTGCGGGTGAAATGTGGCAGCCAATTGCGCACAGCAGTGTCCCACAAACAGTTGTGGATTGAGTGACCAATTTTTTTATTATTTTACTTTGAAGGGATTATTACCACCGGAAAAGCAATACACCAATCAACTAACAACCGGGTTCCTACTTACTGATAGGTAAACAGAGATGTGTGGAGTAAGGAAACTTGCCAAATGTTTCTCCCCACCTGGGAATCGAACCCAGATCCTCTCAATAGCATGAAACGTGGAAATAGCCTGAAACTGCATTGAGAGTGACTGGATAGAAGCAGACGCCTAGGTGTGGCAGGTGGAAAGTCAAAGCTTCACTGCTAAACTGAGAGGTTAGCTAGTAAGGAGTGGTTGGAGCAGGTTGCGGCCAGCAGAAATACCATGATGGATAGAAATAGGGCGGTTGAAAATATTTGATTTTCAGTTTCAGGTGTTGATCAGCTTCAGCTGGCCAGAACTGAAACTTTTACATCAATGACCAATGATGAAAAACTGAGCCCAAACGGCAGAATTACTGTAGAACCCCAGAAACATAATATTTTCACATCATTTCTTATCGGGCAAAAGTGTTGTGAAATTCAAAACCTGTGTTGAACGTAAAATATGCAATAGTGCCTTACACATCGCTTTGTATAACTTAGGGAATCATTTCTAAGTACTCACCATGACGTGGATCAAAGCTTGTGTATTCAGCATTAAATCCTACATTACTAGTATAAATGTTTGAGTGAAAGTGAACAGTCATGATATTGGAGATGCTGGGAACCACTAAGACTTTGGAGTATTCACCACAATACCTTTGAAGGGAAACAGAAACAGTCTTTACAAGTGCTTTAAGCTTTCTAATCTGCAACCTTCAGCAACTCTGTAAAAGTTATAGTTTGACTCCACATACAGAGTCATACTTATATCCTATTTATCTGTTATCTTTATATACTATACATAAATGTGACAGCTGTTTTAGTTTATCATGGTCTGCACATTGTTCACTGTTTAATCAGTTTTATTAGCTTATAGTTTTGTTTTTAATGAGATCTTAAATGTTCACCCGAACAGGTGGACCTGAGCTCAGTCTAACGTCGTATCCGAAGGACTGCACTGTACCGACAATGCATTGGGGCGTGAGCCTAGAACACGGTCTCAAGTTCTGATCCGAGGCTCAAACCTAGAATTTCCTCACTTGGAGATGAGAACGTTACCAACAAAGCCGGGCTGAACCAACCAACATATAAGGTCTCTGCTGAATGTAGGCAAACGCACTGTGCATCTCATGCTGACATACCGATTCCCATCAATAGAGATCCAGTCCTTCGTGCAGTTTGGTTGTGTACCTTCCAGCATCAGAATCTTAAACTGGATCTTGAGCCTCAGATTTGGGTTTGGCACCTAACCAAGGGGCAGAATGCACAGAAGATACTCGATGAGGATAGTTAGTCTCCACTTTGGCAAACAAAGTTAGCATCATTTTGTTCTTGATTTGCATAAATCAAAGAGATCCCATTGGAATGCAACTGGTTTCCCTTCAGTGTAAATGATTCCTTCTCAGATCACAACTATCCTTTTTCTTTGTTCCTTTTCAGATTGATCACAATTATGCTTTTTCTTTGAAGTCCTAAAAACAGGATTTAATTTGGAAACTGTTTTCCGCTGTTCTTAAAGAGGAAAGGCTTCCAAATTAAGATTGAATTTGAATATTTTCTACAATTTTATGTAATGTTAAATTGGAGGCAAATAGTTTTAAGCTTAAAACCAGATTATACTTCAAGATTTGGGATTCCTTAATAATGATGACAAAGAACTTTATATAGAGTGTTGCAGTGTCGGGGTTAGACACTAAGCAAGGGAGAAGGGGGAGGTGACCATAGATGCAGTCGAAGAGGTAGGTCTTCAGGTGAGATTTAAAGATAGATAAATAATAACAACAACAAGATTACATTTGTATAGCGTCGTCTCTCACGTCAGGATAATAATTATAATAATGCTTGCATTTGATATAGCACTTTATCACATCGTTGAGAGTCTCAAATCTATTCACAGAATGTACTGTAAAGTGAATTGACTGTGTGTTTTGTGGACTGCACAGCAGTGTCCAACAAACAGTTGTAAAATAAATATAATAAAGTAAAATAAATATATGTAAAATAAATTATAATAAAATAAAGTAATAATTGGAATATGTACTTTAGTTCACTCTGTAGATCAGTAAACTTCTGCTGTAGCCCAAACTTTCCTAATGGCCAATAATGTATTCGGAGTTGGCTACGCCACAATTGAAACTGCCTGAAAACTCCCAGTAAAAAGATAAAACCCTTTTACCATTAAGAAATTTTATTTTTTTCAGCATACCACAAACCTGTAGTGGTGTTAGAAGGCTTAATGAACAAACATCCGTGCGGACTGACATGAAAGTTGCTCAAAAGGAAAGTTTGTATGATAATAATAATAATCCTTGCATTTGATATTGCGCCTTATTACGTCTTTGAAATGTCTCAAAGCACTTCACAGAATATACTGTAAAGTGAATTCACTGTATATTTTTTGAGTGAAACGTGGCAGCCAATTGTTAACAGCAGTAAATTGCACACAGCAGTGTCCCACAAACAGTCGTGGACTGAGTGACAAAATTATTCTTTTTTTAAGGAATTATTACCCCTGGAAAAGCGATCCACCAATCGACTAACAACTGGATTCCTACTTACTGCTAGGTAAACAGAGGCTTGTGGAGTAAGGAAATTTGCCCAACGTTTTGCCCTGCCGGGAATCAAATTCAGATCTCTTGCTTGAGAAGCGAGGGCTCTAACCACTGAGCTGCAGGACTCCCAATTCAAAAACATAATAAATCTGAGGCCCAGAATGTGCCATGCTTGTAGCCTTAAACCCATTGTTCTAATTGTTCAGACTGTACAGAAGTTTAAAGATTGTTCGATTTATTTTTGAAGCTCGTTAAGATTTATGGAAAATTGGCTTTGAAATTGAAAATGCATTTGAGAATCTTCTAAAACTCTGCACAATTTAATCTTTTAAGGCAAATAGTGTTACATTACAAAGGCAAATGGAATTTCACATCTCTAGAGTCCAAAGAGTATGTTGGGTTTAAGCTGAGTTAAGACCTATTGAAGTTTTGCTTTACTTGTTGAGCTTTCCGCTAGTGTTTATTGGTCCGTGAAGCTATGCAGATATGGTTTCCAGCTTGTCTAAAACTGAAAGGAACAAGTTGGATGAGAGACAGATTGGTAAAAATCCAACAAACCTTTTAAGTTATTGAAAAGACAAAGTAATAGTGATGGAGATGAGCGCACATCACTGAAATTCAAATCCAATTATAGCAGACTAGGAAAATTAAAAACAGCAAATAGCTAAATATGATCTCTTTACTAACTGAAGAAACAGATATCACTTATAAGCGGAAACAGTTTTTCGGCAAGGAGGTAAAGCGACAAAATTGCTAGTTAAAACAAAAAAAAGGCCGCAACAGTGATTTCACTGATTAGGAACAGAGAGAAGTTATACCAAAACTGGACCAATTTCTATGTGAGCAATAGGAGTATCCCATAGAACAAGCTGAAAGAGAAATATGAAAGCAGGATAGTCCCCGGGAGGCAATCACAATATGGTAGAATTCTCTAAGAAAGTTTTATCCAAGTGAGGTTCAGATGTCGAAAGCCTTGAACAGATATGCCAAGATACAATGGTCTCTAATACCTTCAGCAGTGATTTTATTTGGATCATCATCCTCACCCACTATAGAAGCCTGATACCAATTTTTGCTATTGGTAGTAAAATACTGGCAACGATACTTGCAACAACAATTACAACAGCGACAAATTACATTTGTACAGCGCCCTTTCATGTCAGGAGGACATACCAAGGTGCTGGACAGTCAGGAACTTAGACATCGAATGGGAAGTAATATTCCCACGTATTCTCAGGTAGGATTTGAAAATGGCCTTTATTATTCAAACACCTAAACCAGATGCAATTTTAAATTCACCTCTTTCGATTTATGTTATCCCCTTAGTTACACATCCCAATATTATTCATTTTCTTAATTACCAGAGAACTGATCGCTTTAATGACCAGCCAACTAGAAACCTCAGGTCCCTCTGCTGTTCCAATACCTCAAATAAATTTCCACTTAGCACATATTTTACACTACCCTTTTTCTGCTGCATCTCATAACTTTACATTTCTCTGTGCTAAACTGTATCTGCCACCTTTCCGTCCATCTATGCAACTTAGGCAGATCCTTCTGAATCAGTTACAAAAAATATTAATAATAGTGGCCCAATTACAAGCACTGTAACAACCCCCCAACAAAATGGCTCTGAGTCAAGTACCTACCTATGCATCACCACACATTGATTTCAACTAAATAACTGATTGTGATATCCCAATGGTTCCGTACACATCAAACAGATATTTCGGAACTTCAACGTTTCACTTACAATAATTATCCAGGTGCATCTGCAATTCGAAGGGTAGTAACTGGGGTAAAATGGGGATGCCAGCAACCCACGAAAGGCTGTTATATTTCCTCCACAAACTGAGAATCAAATGGAATTGAAACAAATGAACACATTTGAATGAAAAAACAGTTTTCTGACTTGCAGAAGCATGTTGGTCCTCCAAACATACATCCCACCTCAAATCACAAAAAAGCAACATTTCAAGAATAAACAGACTGCATTGAAGGTACACTAATATTCTAAACTTTATTCATAATAATACTTGCATTTGATATAGCACCTTATCACATCTTTGAAACATCTTAAAGTGTTTCACAGGATATACTATAAAGTGGATTGACTGTGTACTTTGTGGGCAGAAAGGCATTAGATGCCTTCATTTGAGCAATGCTTGTTGAAACAGGATTCCACAACGGATACACAAGTCTGTGTTTCATTGCTGTGTTTGCGTTGTTAATTAAAAATTGCCCGCGGGTGTGTCCTTCCCTCTGACTCAGTCACAGTGTTTGAGCCTTGTCAGCCTGCAACATGCATGAAACATCCAGCCATGGATTGAGACATTGGAGTGACAGTTTATGGGATTCTACCTTAAAATTGAGTCAAGATGATATTCCATGAACTGCGATACTAATTCTTGGATCCATGCGGCTGGAAATGCAATTTCCAACTTTTGTAATAATTTTCTATCTTTACTAGCACATCACACGTCCCAAATTTTCCCCTATTCGTTTCTACTGTACTCACTTGCCTCCTTGATGAATTTCACAGTTGCTTTAATCTGATTTCTCAATTCAGATTGAGTGATAAACACTACTAACATCACTCTCCCTGAGGATGTCACAGTGAAATTCTGCAGTGGGGATAGTTGGCTGCCAGAGCAAATCCTGTCAAACAAAGAGCAAGAATAGCCACCTTGGTATTGAGTAAAGATGCATTTACAACAACAAGATTACATTTGTATAGCGCCTTTCACGTCGGGAGGACGTCCCAAGGCACTAGACAGTGACTTGAAGGAGGTTAAAGAGGGGGTGAGGCGGAGTGATTGGGGGATGGAATTCCAGAGGTTGGGGCAGAGTATTTATAATGCTGAACTCAAACCGGTTACTCAAAATAAATAATCCCAACTCATTCAATGGTTTTGCCTATGATCCGCGGGGCTGGGAATGCAATGCTGTGCTCCAAGACAGCTTTCGGCCCAACCTTTGTAATAATTGAGTGGCACATATCAAACTACTTGATTTGAGAATGAAATCCCATATGAGGAGAATGGTGAGATTTGTTATGTTAAGGTGCCAAATACTGTGGTTTGATTACTACAATGTAATTATTTTCAGCACAGAAATGTATAAACAATAATAGTAATAATAATAATCCATGCATTTGATGCACAGTCTTTTCACGTCGTTGAAACTTCGCCAAGTTCTTCGCAGAATATATTATAAAGTGGATTGTCAACATCAAGATTCTTAAATCCTTGCAGGGTGCGAGCGATATGGAGTTCAGGTTTGAACAGAGAGCAGTGTATGGATTTAAGAGAGACTTTTAAGAGATTACTTTTGTGTCTGTACTGTGCTGTACCTCATCTGGGAGAATTTGATGCTGATAATGGTTAACCTCAGCCTTCTCACTCTCGCTTGGTCGCTTGGCTGCTCAACAATCCAGAGTTTACAGCTCTGTATTCTACCGTGAGCTTGCTTCATTGTAATAGACCACATTCTCAATCAACAACTCTCCAGATAGATCAGTGATTAGACCCAGTTATTTATTCCAGAATCTGACCTTATAAAACTATTCAAATATAAAATATCTTTGGTTAAAAAAAGTAGTAAATCTGCATCATTCAATCAGCAACTGTGACTTATAGAGAACCTAGAATTATTAGTACCAGTAAATTGGGATTCAGCGGAGATTCTAAGGTTA